CAAATTTTTCAGGCGGAAATTTCCGGAGGTCATGTGATATTTCCGTAAATCGACGCCTAATTAAATTTCCTGATGAATAACTTCTTCCAACCATCCCTTTTACATTAAAAAATCTGGTTGATTACTTATTATTTTTCGTGCTTCTTCTAGTTTTAATCCCTTATCTGGTTACAATCCCCTTTCTGTTAGAACTTGCTTTAATCCTTTCAGCTGTTCATATAATTCAGGAATATGGTAATTTAATGGAAAGTTTATATCTTGTGAAATTTCTTCACCAAAATATGTTCTGCGCATTTTTGGCTGTTTTCTCCCAGGACCGAGATTTATATATTTAGCAATAAGTGTATCTGGTGAATAAGAAGAATAACTTGATGCATTATCAAATGTAAACAAGACCTGGTGCCCCAGAAAACGTGCTTCGAATATAGGAATTGCACATTCAACTATTGGATTTATTAAGTCATTGGCCTTCCACCATTCATCATTATTTTTACCTGGATGCATAATAATACAGGCTTCTCTAGGTATATTATTTGATATCTGCATCTCTTCAGAAAATGCAAGGTGTCCACAAACTTCGGTTAAAAAATCACTAACGTGAATCGAACGGCCATTACTTTTTTTTCACAAAGGTTGTTCTCCATTTGGAATCCAAAAACTTCGACTTCCATCATAAGCTGAGAAAATGCATTCATCATGTGTAACAAGAATAAGTGGTTGTATATTATTATTTGACCAGATTATTTCTTCCAAATTGTCTCCTGAAAAAATAGGCATTCTATATTCAAATTCACTCATTTGTTTTAAAAATATTTTTCAATAGGCAACTATATCTTCTCTCTCATGTCCATTCATATATGTTCCTTTCTTTACCTTTTCATAAGAATATCCAAGCTCCTTCAAATAATTTCTTGCAGTATTGATATGGATTGTTGGAGATGGCACAAATTCAAGTCCTGGTAAAATAACTTCATTTATCTGTATCATCAGTATCTGTGGAGTAACATTCCATTTATGCTCCCGATATATGATTTAACTTGAAAAAAATATCCTCATCCCAAAGAAAACTCGATATTTTAGCATGATGTCCACAGCGAGAATAAGGGATTTGACGAGTTTTTATATACTCATGTGTTCAAGAACAAATGCATTTGGCGTGATATACTCCTTTTCCTGCTGCATTGGTGATAACTTTGCTTGCATCTATTTTTAAATAGTTGCATTTTACAAGTTGGATATAAATTCAGATTCCATTTAGACGTACCCAAACTTCACTTTTTATTTTTTTTTTTTTAATATCTAACTCTAGATTTTCAAGAACAGTTGAGATTTCATTATTCCAATTACAATTCTCGATTTCATCATCCAACAGGTCATCATCATCATTATTAATTTCCTCAGTAGATTCTTTAGTATTCCAAAAGGTATGCAATGTAAAAGTTCCCTTTGCTACTTCACACTGTTGATGATTCTTTCTTCTTGTAGTGCAGCTTGAGTTTCCTATGTAAAGGGATTTACGTACTTTGTGAGAGGCATGTTCTTTGTGATATTTTTTTGATACTTCTTGAAGTCTTGTTACAATATTTACAGCATTATTATTTTCCGTTGACCCATTATAGCAATCATTGAAAGAATTATTGATATCGGTACCTTTTAATTCATCAATATTGGGGCTTTCTAATTCATCGATATTATCATAATCTATGTCATCAATGATACGTTTAAAACGATGTGCAGCTTTTCCTTCACACGCTTTCATTGATCGATTTTTACTTTTTGTTAGACGTGATATATTTAAATTGGATTTATTAAAGTGATTCTTTTAACAAAAAAAAATTATCAAAAGTATCACAAAAAATATTATCGCAAATAGATTTGAATAATCACTGGTCGAAAATTGATAAAACATACACATATCAGGTACCCGATATGTGCATGGTGTTTCCCTAATATCGGCCATATATCGGGTACCCAATATGTGTAGAAAATATTTTATATATATATCGGGTACCCGATAAGTGTAAAAAAATATTTTCTACACTTATCGGATA